CAGAAAAAACGTGGGGGCACCCCAGTGTATGCTGGTCCTATACCATTCTCTTTATTTATAGAAAAATGGCCCTACAGTTCTTCCTGACTAACTTAACAACAAAACAAAACAAAACAAAGCAAAACAAAACAAAACAAAACAAAACAAAACAAAACAATGAAACAAGTATTAACCTACAAATAAAACTTGCGAATAACCCAAAAAAGCAAAAAAGTTAACCAACAACAAACTTTAAGAAATTTCAAAATAATTTAAAAAAAAGTTTTTAATGAAAACCAGTAAACAACCATATAATACGATGGCGGGGAAATCAAATGCACCGAATCTTCAAAAAACGTCAGCAAATAGAAAAATACTGCAAAAGCTCACAAAGCACAATCACAATGTTTTTCTTTCCTTGAAGTTTTTCAGGTAAAAAAACACTGATGTTGTAGAGGTTTTTTAAAAAAAACTCACAAAAAAAGACAAATACGATGCACTTGGTTGCCGGGTTAACTTTTATCTGGCCTGGTACGATCACACATACGGTACAAGGTGCTTTGAGGAAATCTTTAGTAAACACAGTTTTATATATGAAATTTTTAATCCCAACCTTCATCAATATTCTTACGTTTACACACTTTAGGCCACAAAACACAAACTGCTGTATTATGTGAAGGACCACTTTGCCTTGTTTAACCAAAAAAAGGTTCGATCTTATTACACTAGCCTCAGTGACTCCTAATCCCCCCCATTAATAACCATAAAGCCTCATCAAACAGACATGGAACCGCCTTAAGAACCACTAGTCTCCTCCAAGGATTCCTGGAACTTCTGAAGGACTTGAGAGTAAATAAGAAAGGAGAGAGGAGGAGAAAAAGAGACAGGGTTTGATAATTACTTTCAGTCAAGCTTGTCTTCACCTCCTCGTGATTATACCGAAGGCTAAATCTAATCTTAACTGCTTACCAGCAAATTATGATGCAGCAAACTCTTTCAGTCCGGGCAGGTCGTGGCGAGCCTGATTATTACCATTAAGCCCTCATAAAGAGGCAGAGGTCCCGCAAACGCTTTGGAACAGTAAGAGTTCTTTGGCAGGTTTGTTTTAAAGACCGTGCCCTTTTCAAAAGCAGAGATTGCAAATGAATTTCCCCCCACTATTTTGTAACTTAAAGGTTTGCTGTAGCCATAACAGGCTGAAAATGTTTGATTTGATGGCTTTGTTTTAATCTGTTCGAACCCTAAATATGTGGACAAAACGACTATTTCAGTGTAAAACATAATCACAAATTTTCCTCTAGGTTCTCTAAGGAGTCTTTCTCAGAAGTTCTATGTTAGCTTCACTGAAACTGAAGAAGTGGACTCTTATACATCACATAAAGCTCAGTGCTTGTTTGGGTGAATTTAATATTCCCCAGTTATTATTTGGGTTGAGAAAGAAAAAGGAGTTCGTGTAGCATTTTCTATCATGTTTTTAAACAACATTCAGGAAACTGTGTGCTGTATAATTAATGCTTAAATAATGCTGTTAACTGCGGTTTGACTGTCGTGACTCATCTTCACCACATCATCAAAACCAAATGCTTCAAAGCTCCTCTTGAACTCGACTCTGATGTTTGAAAGCATTTCTTCTTCAAACCTCAGGCCATATCTTTACTTCAGTTAATCTTCCAGTTCGCTGTGCACCAATGAGCAGCTGCTCGTCCCCAGATGATAAGGTGTGGAAGTGCACTGGAGTGGATGATTCATCTGCAAATGAAAAAACTGGCACAGGAAGCCAAATACTGTCAAACTGCTGTTTATTGGTCCTCTCATCATCAAATGCATCGTTATGAACTGCAGGTCTGTTCTCGAGTTGTTTACATGTGCGGTAATTTTATAACCGAGGAGATTAAAACAAAATGATGCAAATAAAGAGTTTTAACCTCCTGACATTCACCAAGTTGCCAGGAAATTGTTTAGGTGTAGGTTTAGGGTTGGGTAGGATTTTAGCCATTTGCTAAACATGCTTTATGTCATACATGAAAGGTTGCTGGTTCGATTCCTGTCAGAGACACAATTCCTACCTACCTGCTGTGGTGACCCCTTGTGGCACAGGAGCAGCAGATGGTATTCAAATGAACTTTAAAGTCAGGAGTGAAAAACCGTGATGCCGAGATGCAACTACCTTTACCTTTGTGGACCTGACCCTGATGAATTTGGCTTTGCTGCTGGCGATGTTTCAGTCTGGCATTCTTTGTCTTGCACTCAGTGTTGGCTGGACCCAGTTGTTTTTAAAGGATGCTCAGAATAGATACTCTTTTATTCCTCACAAAAGACTCTGAAAGAGTTCGTACATGTACAAAAGGTGCAGGCCACCTTAAAACTGCCCTCCTGTTGGTGGTATGTGATAATGTTGGGAAAGAAAGGAAGGACTATGGGATGTGAAGGGTCACTTGTAGTTCATAGGCAGTGGGATCATCTGAGAACATGCAAGATTTATCAGCAGCTCTGTGCAGGGGTCAGGTACAGCCGGGTAAGTCAGGTCACTGCATCTCCCAGAACAAACTGACCTCTCCCTAATCCCAATACACTTCCTGCCAGAGGGAGGGGAGGGGGCTGCACTTTGTTGGTCTTCACCATGGGAATCCCTTTGGAGGAGCTGAAATGTTGATAACAAACTGCTGAGTCTCAGTGTGACATTGCAGAGGCAACAACAACACATTTAAGTTGTGCATATGAAAATGCACTTAAAGTGGACTTATTGTGGTTTTCCTTTTTCTCTGTGACATTTATACAGTTCAGTGATGGATGCTCACATTAACCATCACAACTACTTTCAAATAAAATAGGTCAGAATAAAGTCAAGTAATCCTTGTGAGCCAAACACTCGGCATGATGCCAGTGACATGTGATCTGCTTAATATGATCTTTTCGGGCAAACAACTCTGACTCTCTGCTTATGAGAAGCAGCCAATCAGAGAAAAGTTGGCTTACAGAGAGAAGCACTAAAAGCCTGTTGGTCACAGAAGAACAATGAACTGAGGAGCTGCGCCAAGGCCAATTATATGATAAATAAGAGTTTTTCTTTAGTAGAAACATACTTTTAGCTGCTGCCTTACAAGTAGAGAAGCTTGTGACCACTCTTGAATCTGTGATCTTTCACAGATAAGGCGAATGTTACAACCACTAATTACTATTGTTCTTTAATTATTTTTTTTAAAGAGGGATTACTTTGAACAGTTCACATGAAAATCCTGAATTCAAATGATTCAAGGAATCAAAAACTAAAACTTTTCAAAGCCTTTTGTTAAAGCTCATAAGTTCACCTGCAAACACTGTGACGTGACAGCCCTGCTGTCGACACTGACAAGGATGAGATTCCCCTGTGACAGAGAGGAGAGCAAGTCTCTGAAGAGAAACTAATAGCTTTACAACATAAACGTCCCTCTCCTTTTATTTGACATGAACTAACTTTTTAGCTCTGCTTTTATGTGGAGCATCAACTCTTTGCAAACATTGCCATCTAGTGTCAAACTTTAGGTAATGCCGTGCAGAAAATATGGTTATTACACATTCACCAAACCTTTCTGCTGTACTTAAACAGATGTAAACACATACAGATAAATACAATGACTTACTATTTCTGAAGCCCTCACAGATTAAACATTAAAACATAAACAGTGGAGCATTGAGAAGCGGGTAAACATTTTTTGGAGTCAACAGTTTTTCCTAAAATGTGAAACAAGTTGAGTTTTTTTTTTCATTTTTATTTTGTAAAATCTGGTCCAATAAACAGATGACAGTTTCTTCAGTCTGTGAATCAACAGGTGCGTCCCGCCTACCAACAAGTCCTCGGAAACACGTGAATAAAGTGAACAGCAGGGGGCGCTCTAAAGCAACGACTGACGAAAGACGGAGCGCAAGAATGAAGTATTGCAACTAAAAGAAGCGCAGAGAGAAATTTCCGTTCCTAACAATATCAGAGTAAATGTTTTTTTTTACTAAATGCATAAATAAATAAAATGAATCATTTTGTGTGAAGGATTGAAAAAAATGAGCTTCACGTTTGGAGACACCGCTCCACACATATGCAGCAGCACAGCAGTGATAAAATGATCATAAAGCAGCATTAAGTGTTTTATGATCCTAAAGAAATAAATGAAAATAAAGACGCGTGCACCACAGAGCTTTAATAAAGCGAGTCGTTATGAACAGGTACGTTTTCTTCACGCTGCTGCTCTGAGTGCACACCGCTCGCGCGTGCACGTGCGTTCAGATGCGTGTGCGCGCAGGCGGAGGATCGCCGCGGAGCCGTACCGTGTAGCAGGCACAAGCCGCTGGGCGCGCAGGAGAAGCCGCAAAAAAATCCAGCAGCCGCTGCTTGAAGCTGCCAGGAGCGCAGAGAACGTGTCGGAACTTCAGTGCACACGGTAAGAGCTGCTCCATCGCCCCACTCTCCTCTTTTACTGCCCCACGGAGCCGCTCACATGCTCGTGGATCTTTTATTTTCTTTATTCCTTTTGTCTTTTCCCATCTCTCCGTTTGGACAGCCGCGCGGAGCGAGTGCAGGGGATGAGACAAAGGACGTGGAGATGTCGTGAAAAAAGAAGGAAATCAAATATTTTTTAGAAAAGGAGAAATTAGGAAACTGTAAAATTCTGTTTTCTTCTGTGCTCTTTTTTTTCTCTTTTTCTTTTCCAGGCGACAAAATGTGCACGAGTTTAAAAAGGGGTGTGTACAGTCTGGGAGAGCACGCGCTCAGACACGGTCTCGTTTTTCTCACTTTTATTGAGGGAAAAAAGCAAAAATCACCTCGACAGCGCCCAAAGTGCGATCGAGCAGCGTGCTCTTTATTATTTATTGATTGCTTTGATATCGTTTATGATTATATAATTTCCACAGACTGCTCCGCACCGCAGAGGGGAGGGGGGATTTGGGGCTCGGGGGTGGGGTGGCGGTGCCCCCCTCATAATTTGCAGCCAGTGAACAGTTGAACATCCAGAAATAAGAAGAGTGCTCTTCTGCTCGCCCCACCTCTTTGTCTTTGTGGAGGTGTGACACCGTTCTGCCTGAATGCGACACGCACGCGCGCACATGCACGCACTCAGTGACTCTTATCACATGCACTCTCTAACCACATCAGTCCGTGTCATGATTCAGATGAATTATTGATCTCATATTCTCGTTTTATTGCACTCAGAAGGAGTATGGAGGAGGGATGGGGGTTGAGGAGCCTCTGTGGGATGATGTTGATGAGGAGGAGGAGGATGAAAAGGAGGAGGGTGGGGGTGGCTGATGGAGAATCTAAGCTGCATTCTCTCCCGCACAAACACAGAGTTCATCTTTTCACTCGTCTTCTTGTTTCTGCCGCTGCTCGAATGTATCGGTTTGCTTACGCAGCGAGTCAAACTTTATTAGCCGTACCCCGCCGGTTAATTGCCTGGTCCTTTGTTTGCCGCGGCACGCATGCGCATTAGGTGTAGGGTGTGGATGGGAGAGATGCCACCTTGCGTATCAATAGGATGGAGAGGAGGAGGACAGTCTTTCGGGTTTTGGTTTAGTTGTTTATTTGCGTGAAAAAAAAATGACAATAAACGATTAAAATGTGACGAGGAGGGGTTGTGTGTCTGTGCGCGTGTATTTTGGGTTGTCTGCGTGTTTTTTCCCCTCCGTTTCTCGGTGATGTGACGCTGTGGATTGTGTGTGCGGATGATGGTTTGTGTGTGAATGGCGCCTCAGTTGTGGTGGTGCTGTATCGGAATTGGACTGTGCTGCAGCGATGTGCTGAAATAACTGATTAATCGGGTATCGTAATGATTAATTATGATAATTACTTCACCTGAAATCACAATGAAACCGATGCAGAAATGACAAACAGCATTATTTGCTTAAAGAAGGTTTTGTTGGACAATTTTAATGATTTTCTGGCAAACTGTCACCTGCACAGTTCATGCACTGTAGCAACAGATAGTTAGGACATTCATAGACATTCAGTCTTACAGCTCTGAGCCCACAAACAGCTGAAGTCAACATACAGGAATCTGCAGTCTGTGGGAGTTTTTTTGCTTGTGTTGACTTACTGCTGAAATCAACCTTTTACCTGACACAGCAAGTAAAGGTGTGCAGCGAGGGCGCGCCACACCTGGGGTTGTAAAATTAGTCCAATTCAGATTTCATTGACATTTTCCTCCTTTAACAATTATTAAAGGAAGATAATGAAGATAACGTTCGCACTGTGCTGCTCTGCGTTTCCTAACAGTGCTCTGACCCTGTTGGTGTTTACTTCATTTCTTTCTTTATTTCCATTCCTATTTCAGATGAATTACAATCAAATTTCAAGGGTACGTTGCAACAGTTAAAGAGACGCGTTCAATAAACCCAGTCAGTCCACAAACAGTCCCGTTAACTGTGATCTCAGCCGTGGCCAAAATAACTGTGATTGTAATTGTTGCCGTAATCAAACAACAGTTTACTGTAGCAGCAGTTTGTAGGAAATCACTGATGAATGCAGAGACAATTTCCATTTCTAAACTGACTCACTGTCTTTTCCACTCTTGCCCAGTGATGGGAAGATTTACAGTTTGATGCTTCAAAGGCGATAGCAGATAGGGAGCGAGTGTAATTGGTCTTGGTGGGTGGGCGGCTGGGGTTAATCATCAGAGTGGGTTTACGAAACTCTGCGTGAGATTAGAATTTAAGAATATGGATGAGCATGTTCACATCATATCCACTGATATTCCATAATTAACATATAGAGATTTTATAGCATTTGTTTTCATCTCGTCATTAATTATTTCTGCACGTTTGCAAGCACGGCCTCAGTATGAATTCAAACAGACAATAATGACATTTGTGATGAGGGATAGATGGTTTAAAACGCCTTTTTCAAAATGAATCCCATCGATTCTGATATTATAGTCTCAGGATGGTGGGATTTATTACAGGGTGACACATTAAATGCTCTGATTGCTTTTTTGTGTGGAACACACCATGAATAGTTACCTAAGCTGACAGTTTGCTTAAAATGTCAGCAGACAAGCTCTGGGAAGTGTTTGTTGTTGGCTGAGGATGTTAGCCCTCGGCCAGAGTGCTAATGTACAACGGAGGCACTTGGAAACAAATCATCACTTCCTCTACATGAAAAGAGAGCTGGACCCGCATCACCAAGGTGATGTGTTTGCTTGTGTTGTAGATGTGCTGTTAAAAGTGCCTCCATCTGACAATACAAGTAAAAGGAGACCCTGACCACGTCAGGTGATGTAGAAACTCTTAATACAGATGTGCATTTCAGCTATACAGTCCTACACAGTGACCCAGACACTGCTTTATGTTTGGTGTGATCTGTCTTCATTACACTCTCGTGTTGTTTCTGTCTGTGACACTCAATAATGAGCTTTCATGTGCTGATGTTGCACCAGCAATGTAATAAAACAAAACATTTAAAGATATTTAAATAGGAGAATGCTATTTCTTCCTGTTAAAAGGGAGTTTTTCCTTCCCACTGTTGCCAGAGTACTTGCTCACAGGGGGTCATGTGATTGTTGGGTTTTCTCTGTATGTATCATTGTAGGGTCTACCTTACAATATAAAGCTCTTTGAGGTGATTGTTGTTATTTGGTGCTCTATAAATAAAATTAATTGAATCAAATAGAATAAAAAAATGATATATGGAGCATTTTGATTGGTTGAAATGTGACTGGGAGTACTTCTAGTCCTTTGAATGACTCTTATTACAGGTGAAGGTGTTTTTGAGAGAAATATTACCTTTATTAAGATTTACAATCAGATTGGATTCACAGAAAACATCTCAGACACGAGGTTGGTTTCTGTAATTTTCCCAATAATTGGTGATCAGTGCTTAAAGGACAAGTACGTAAGACTTTGTGACATCTAGCATTGAAGTTGTAGATTGAAACTGACTGACTCCTCCTCCTTTACTTCTACCTTTCCAAGCCTGAATGAGATGTTGGTCATCAGTTTAACATAAAACAATCCAGACCTGAGGCACGTTTAATCCTGCTGTGTTTTCCATCATATTCTGGTATTCTGGACACTGCCTTGGCTCATCTGGACTCATGTGAAAACACAGCAGCCCCCCCCCCCCCCCTCCCTGTGAACATAAGAAAGTCCCACAGCTAATTTAAATGTAAAGATTTCCAGTCATTTGCACCGGTAAAAATATTCTGAATACTCATAGCTTTGCACTCCTCGGTTTGTGTTTGCTACTGCAACCTCCTCATGAGTGGTGTTGCAGGATCACCATGGTAATGGGGGTCTTGTAGTAATGGTAAATGGCCTGTATTTGTATATCGCTTTACTAGTCTCTAAGGACCCATTCGCACACACATTCACACACTGGTGATGGCAGCTACATTGTAGCCACAGCCACCCTGGGGCGCACTGACAGAGGCGAGGCTGCCGGACACTGGCGCCACCGGGCCCTCTGACCACCACCAGTAGGCAACGGATGAAGTGTCTCGCCTAAGGACCAAGCCGGGGCTCGAACCGGCAACCTTCCGATTACAAGGCGAACTCCCAACTCTTGAGCCACGATCATGCGTGTTGCCTGTCTGGCTGTTGATTGGCTGACATAAATTCATCCCCGACTCTGTTCATTCATCTTTGCCAGATGGAGACGAACGGCAACCTGATGAGAAGTTAGGATGGTGACTCATCGGTTACCGCCGCTGTCTGCTGCTCAGTGTGTGACTGTGAATACGTTACGGAGAGGAGAGCAGACACGAAGCAATGATACCTCACCCACCCCTGTCTGTGTTACACACATCGTGTACTCATGCAAAAGTAAGCGGACGATGAGTCATAGGTGATTATCAGTGTGTGTCCACATACACTGTACCTGACAGACTAAGGGACTGATAATGAGGGGGTGAGGGACATTTTGTCTACATGAATTTGCAGGTCTTAGAGGGTCCGTCTCTCTTTATATGATTTTTATTTATTTTTTATTTCATTGTTCGGTCATGTGATCAGCAGGATCACTTTCACACAATCCTGCATCAGTCTTAATTAAGGCATCATGCTGTGTGTAATGGAGAAACAGGCTGGTTAACTTAAGGGAGCGGAGATAAAGCAGAACAATGGGAGGCTGCAGCTGTGTAGCACATATGAACAACTGTGTGTGTGTGCGAGAAGCTGTGTAATGGGTACAGCTGCAGGTTGAGTCTCCACTGCTGATACTACTGTCTCTACTGCTCGTACTGCAAAGAAGGAAAGAAAAACATTTCAACACAGCTGGGTCTGAGAGGTAAAAACACACTGGGCCCATGTTCTCGTTCTCTGCATCTCTAAACACGACAGAATAAGAGTAACGTCTGCTTTAGCGTTAGCAGACATTCAGAAAAGATGGTGTAATTACATTAACCCAGCTTAATAAAAATGTGATTTTAGGACTCAAAATAAGCTGAAATCA